GGTTCAAGTTCACCAGCCACTCCTCTAAAACCCTATACAGGGTCTCGATGGGTTGGAACCAACTCCACAGCATTTAACAACAATAGTAGTCTGAAGAGAGACATAGGTTTAATGTGGAATACTAGGCTGTTGTTCATTATACTATGAGGAGCTATTGTAGTTTACTTTGCATTGTTTTTTGTATGTGATGAAAGGTGGGTTTTGAATTCTTCCCCTTTTCTTACATCTCATTTTTCCCTTTTGCTCTCTTCTTTCTCCTACTTTATTCTTGTTTCTTCTTCTGTTCCCACATACCTTGCATACCTCACAGTTGAAGTCCTGACAGGACTATTTTTGTCTGTTTACATTTTTGTGAAAGATTGAGCATTTTTGCATTTTCAAATCTCCCGACATTTGGAAACATTAGATAACTGAGTGTCATATCCGTGGATCTTTGGTGTTGTGAGTTAGAGATAATAATTTTGGTTCTGTTTCAGGTCTATCATATGCAAGTCACACAGTTGGTTTCACACCACCAACATCGCTGACTAGAGCCGGAATGTCTTACTACAATTCCCCGGGCCTTCATGTGCAGCATATGGGAACTTCCCATGGCATCACAGTAAGTATGTGGGGTCGAAGTAGCACTTTGGTCCTAGTTGTGGTACCAGCTGGTCCTGGTCGGGAGAGCAGGACTGGTATTCTTAGACATTTCCTCTCTTGCTCATTGCTCACCTTAAAAGTGTAGAGGCTTCTCAACTCTTTAATACCAAATCCTGAAGTGTTGAAGCCAAAATTGTTCCCAGGAGGCAAACCTTCAACTTCACTTCTTGTGAAAAATTGCCCTTTGTGAAAGCGAATTTGAAATCTGGCCAGGGCCTCGATTGAGCCTCTTGTCACCAAGCGTTATTGCGGGTGCCATAATGTCAGAAAATAGTTATCATTATTACTTTCAAAGTTCATTGGCCCTCAACATAATTCTATAATTAGCCTTTTTTCTATATTTACACAGCATTTTCTCCCTGCATTAGGAGAAACCTTGAATGCATCTAGTTCAGACTCGAAGGAATTTATTTCTTTTGAGTTGGTCAGTTGGCTAATCGAGTAATTAGGAATGTAGGTGATAACATGTTACCAGACAGGTGACAATTGAGGTTATTCTCTCAAATGAGAATATTGATAGGAAGATCCCTATTCTACAAAAGCATTGAAGAAAATTCTGAAGTGGTTTTGCCAGCTTGCTGGGTGTTATGTACAATTAGGAGCTTTTTAAATTGAGCTCTACCTTGCAAGGTTAAAATGTGTTCTAGATGAGTGACAGAAGGAAATGGCTGGTAGAAAGATTTAAGGGGATGATGACATGGCAGCTCTTTTGTTTTTTGTTACGTAAGGACCATCATTTTAAAAGGGAAGTGGAATTATCCTAGGTTGTTACTAAGAATAGAATTGTAAAGCAAACTTAAGACACTATTTGGAAGTGCAGTCACTCCGTAGGATAATCACCAGACTGAGAACCAAAGGGTTGGCAGTTCGAGCCCACCAGCCACTTTGCAGGAGAAAGATGAAGCTTTCTGCTCCCACAGAGATTTGAATCCTTGGAATTCCTTTACAGCGTTGCTATGAGTCTGAACCTACTCGACAGCAGTTAACAACAACAAAAAGACACTATTTTTAGAAGACATGGTATCGAAGCTAACCATCAGTGATTGATTGAGGTTGCCTCGTGAGTGTGAGCTCGCCATGACAGGAATGATTCAAGCAGAAACCAAGTGACTATAGTTTAAGGGCAGCATATGTAATACCAGTGCTGCATGGGAGATTGAACTAGGCGATTCATAAGCTTCCTTTTCAACTCTTGAATCTCCTCACTGGGTTTCTAAAAGTCGTTCATAGTCTGGGTCAGGGTTTCACAGCTGTGACATTGTTAGCTTCTAGGGCTGCATAATTTGTTTTGAAGGGGATGGCTGTCTCTTGAGAATGTTTAGCCATATCCCTGACCCTCAAGTTGTAACAATCAAGATTGTCTCCAGACATCGCCACATGCCAACTAGAAACAGGGAATTAAATCGTCCCTGACTGAGAATCACTGGCCTAGTTTGACGGTGTTTGTGCAGGACAACAACATAAACCTCAACAACTTTTTCTGCTCTGGAAAGAATGTATGGTAGCCAGCTAATAGGAAAATCTTCACGGCCTTCCCTCTGAAAAACAACATTTCTATTAGCCTCAAGATTGGCAGTTCAAACCTACTAACCACTCTCTAAAAACCTATACAGGGTCACTGTGAGTCAGAACTGACTCAGTGGTACACAATGACAACAGCAACAAGTGGTTGAAAAGCACAGACTAAAACTGAACAAATACATGGGCTAATACTTGTATTTTTTCCTTGATGGATTAACTTTCATCTGCAGTTGGATAGCTATCGTTTCATGCATTCGAGAAGTTTAGTATGAGATGAAGAGCCAGAGAGAGCTGGGAAATGCTGTGGGATACTCTCAGTGGACCCTTTCAGACCAGGAGAGCCTCTCAGGCTGTGATCACCACTGAGAATGAAGACAGAGAAACCTGAGATGGATCTTCATGGGCACGTTTTGTGATTTTTTTGTTGCAACTTCCTTAATAACCTATTTCTTTTATGGCCATAGGAATAACTTTCTTGGGGGAAAAAAAAACATCACACAATACCCCAAACTATGGCTGGTCAGATCAAAATCTCATGCCAAAAAGGGTGTTAAAGTTTGGAAGGACACAAATACGAATCTTTTCCAGCAGTTGACCTGGGAGCTGTCTTGCACATTTCTTGGAAAATGAATGAGCACGTCTAGCATTGCATCCACTTGTTGAAATACCTCAGTTGGTATTCTATCAATTCCTGGAGCCTGGACCTTCATTTTTCACCAATGCCTGCAGGTACAGCTTGGACTTTTTCCTTCTGTACAATTGGTTCTTGATCATCTATGACAACCTGAAATGGTTGAATGTTGGCCACTTCTTTTTGGTACACTTGACTATGTATTTCTGCCATCTGCTTTTGATTCTTCTTACATTGTTCAATTTTCTGTCCATAGAATACTCCAAAATTGCATATTGCAACTTGGACTTGGAGTTTTCCTTCAGTTCTTTCAGCTTGAGAAATGCTGAGCATGTTCTTTCCTTTTGGTTTTCTAACTCCAGGTCTTTGCTCATTGCATTATAACAGAATGTCGGAATCATCTAACAATGTCAGTGATACCACACACAAGTAAAGTTTGGTGAAGATAATTCAAAAACAGTCACAGAAGCACATCGACAGGGAACTGTTAGAACTTTAAGCTGGATTCAGAAGAGGAGTTGAATTGAGGGACATCATTGCTGATGCTGGAAGAATCTTGAATGAAAGTAGATAATAGCAAAAAGATGTTTACTCAACTGTGTTTTATTGATTATGCAAAGGCGTTCAGATGTGGGGATCAGAACAAATACGGATAACATTGCGCAGAATGGGAATTCCGTAACATTTAATTGTGCCTGTCCAGAAGCTGTATATAGTCCAAGAGACAGTCATTTGAACAAAACAAAGGGATACTGTGTGATTTGGGATCAGGAAATGTGTGTGTCAGGCTTGTATTCTTTTGCCATACTTACTCACTCTGCATGCTGAGCAAATAATTTGGGAAACTAGGCTATATCAGGAAGAACACAGGCGTCAGGATTGAAGGAAGACTCATTCATTAACAACCTGTGATGTGCAGATGACACAACCTTTCTTGCTGAAAGTCAAGAGCGCTTTGAAGAATTTACTGAAGACTTTAGTATGCATCGGGCTGTTAATCTCACAGTCAGCAGTTTGAAACTACCAGCTGTTCTGCGGAAGAATAGATGAGGCTTTCTGCTCCCGTAAAGAATTACAGCCTCGGAAACCCTGTACAGGGACGCTATGAGTCGAAACCAACTCCACAGCACTTAGTAACAACAACACCTCAATATAAAGAAAACATAAGTACTCTTTAAAGAGTATAACCAGTAAAATGTTTAACCGCTACGTGGTTTCCCAGCACTCTGTACAAAGGGACTTTAGAAAGTTTGTGATATAATAGAATTACCTTAAAAAAATTTTTTTTTAAAGCAACATACTGTGAATTGAGTGAAGATTTATAGAGCAGATCATCGATTTTACATCCAACAAATGACACACTTTGTTTCATCTCAATGATTCCAATCCCCTCCTTATAACAGCAGTGACCCCACTTCCTCCCTGTGGTTCCTGTTCCCAGTCCACCCTCCTTCCCAACCACTCTGAACCTTGTTCCCAGGTAAATGTTGCCCTTTTGATCTTGAATGGTTGACAAATGAAGACATAAGGAAGAATGGAGGGACTAGAGGGACTAGAGGTCAATACTGTTATATACTCAACCCTGCTACAACAGTGGAAAGGACAGATACACAGGCTGAATGGATATGGGAGGAAGAAGTGGTTATACACCCCCCAAATATATAGAATTACCTTAATTCCATTCATCCTTAAATTCCAGTCCCCTCATATACTAGAACATAAAGAGCTGGTGCCTTACTCAGTATGCCTTGCCTTCTTGTAGGCGTAGAATAAAGAAGGTATCTGAGGCTTAGGTAGCATATCCTCTTCAGAAAATTTGTGGGAAAATTCCGTTGTCTTGTAATTCCATTTTTGATGCCCCCTCACAATGTACGAATGCCTCCGTACAGAGCTCAGAGGAAGGAGGTCTATGGTGGTTCCTAACCAAAGAGAGGAACAGTCCAGAAAAATGAGTTACACATCACATCTTTTCTGAAGCTGTATAGAACTGTTGTTGTTAAGTGCCATTGTGTCAGTTCTAACTCATAATGACCCTAGGTAGTGTTTCCAGGGAGTGGCCAGTGAGCATCAGCTGCTGACCTTGTGGCTCAAACCAACTTTGCTGTCGAGTCCTTATCCTACAGCACCACACCAGGACCCCTGTATAGAACTGGCATTTAACCCCAGGCGATGGCACTGTAGATTTACACCCTTTGATTGAGGGATGTGGTTCTCAGGAACTGATTTCTGGTCCCTAGATGAAACTGAGTCATTGTCCCGTTGTCCCCCCGTTTAAAATTTTCTGGGTACAAAGAAATAATTTTGTTTAACCCTGTGATGTATGAATTGTCTTTGTGGAAATTAATGCTGCTCTTTTTTCTAATAACTATTCATTGAGTATTTACTACATAGTAAGCCAAGAGCATGGCAAACATCTGTTGTATATTTAGTCATTCAGCAAACTCTTGAATACCTAACATCTACCAGGTAGTATAAGGAACCACTGGTAGCGTAGTGGTTACGAGTCAGGCTGCTAACCTTAAAGTCAGCAGTTCAAAACTACCAGCGGTTCCACGGGAGAAAGATGAGGCTTTTCTGCTCCTGTAAAGATTTACAGCCTCGGAAACCCTGCACAGGGTTGCTATGAGTCGGAACCGACTCCACGGCACATATCCACCACCACCAGCAATTGTATGGCAAGCCTGCCGAACCTGGAAATAGCATGATGAAGAACATGGGCCCAATCCCTCCCGTGATGGGGGTTACATTCTCATTTAATTTTTACAAGATGAGAGCCACCTTAAAGATGAGAACAGTAGGGAACAAATCAGTTAAAAATGAACTTTCCAAAGAGACAGAGTTGATATGTGCTGGAACATGTGAACCATTGTGCTTGCTCTCTTGTTGCATGTGTGTGTGTGTTTGTTTTTTAATTGACAAATTGTCCGAAGTAAAGGTCTATCTTTGGTCTAGTCTGATCCACAGATTGAAAACAACTTGTGTTTCCTAGGGAGATACAGATGTCTGCCATTCACATTATGGATTTTTGGAATCTATACTGTCTTACAGTTTTATTGAAATGATTATAGATAGCTACAGCTCTAAAATGGGTCCCAGGTGCAGTAGTTTGGTTGTTGCAAGTTTTGTGGTAATTTCACATCGCTGCTTTTTTTTATAGCTGTAGGTGCAAGCTCAGCCTTGTTTAGAACTAGTTCAGAAACCAGTAGGGGTGGATGAGGAAACCCCTAGTTTCTTGTGTTTGTCAGTCAGTTTTTCACATGCCTCAGCAGTGTGTCAGGCTGTACCTTATACTAACCTGGTATTCCTGTCCACTCCACAGAGGCCTTCGCCGCGGAGAAGCAGCAGTCCTGATAAATTCAAACGGCCCACGCCGCCTCCATCTCCCAACACACAGACCCCAGTTCAGCCACCTCCGCCTCCGCCTCCGCCACCCATGCAGCCTGCGGTCCCCTCGGCAGCCACCTCACAGCCCGCCCCTTCTCAACATTCAGTGCACCCTTCCTCCCAGCCTTAATGCATGTGCTTAGTCTGAAGTTCAAGTTGGGACTCGTAAAACGGAGCCGTCTGCTCACGCCAAAGGCTTCCTTCCCCAGCGTATTTGGATCTGACCTGTTTGCACTGAGTTTATCTAGGCTTCACTCTTCTTTGTGTTGTAAATGTTTGTCGGAAACGCAGCCAGTCTTGTGGGTCAATGACACTAATCAGACGACTTTTTCCATCAGTGTTTGACTTGAATCTTACTTGTATGTTCATTCCCTGGCTGGAACACATGCTTTTCAATATTTGATCATTCAGCAGCAACAGTGTGCAATTCTTGCTCAGCCCCAGAACTTCATTTTCCTGGCTTTTCAGCTTGTAAAATAAAAAGGGATTATCTTTTATATATATTTTTCCCCATGAATTTGCAGAGAATTACTGAGCTGTTATTAGCCCAACCCCATTATAATGGTGTTTACCAAACACACACCAACTCAGCACTACAGTTCCCACCTTTGAGGCATCTAGCTTTCATTGTAGAATGGAAAGTTAGATGAATCAGTGTCCGAGACGTACGTACTGTTTAATAGAGCTTTCTACAGAAACAGTTTTTACAGTTTATTTTCAGTATCTACTGACATCCATGTTGGAACTCTTGTAAAACAATCTCTAAGTAATGGATCCCATGTTATTATATATGATGTGATACTTTTCTTTATCTATAATGGTACCTGAGCTGCCCCCTCTAACATGAGTTGGTAAATGTTTTTGCTCCCCCTGACCCCACCCTGATTAGAATGTGTTATTTGATTTCTGCTGCCGAAGGCAACGTGATTGTAACAGAAACAGCTATTTTCCCCTTCCGTTCTTTTGTGTTCCCCGAAAACAGAGTTTGAACAAATATTTTAAAGGTGCAAAAAATACTAGAAAATGCTATTTGAAATGAACATTATAGGAATATCTCGACATAATGGCCACAAAACACTGTTCTTGCTTGACAGAGAAGGAAAGTAGCACATTAGCATTGATGAATTCTTATTACATCCATTATAAAGCAAGTGCAGTATACAAAGAAGTATATTCTGAATACATTATTTGCATTAATTTAGCACAAATAAATCATTTGGTTTCACTTTGAAGTGGAACACTCTGAGTCACTCTTTTCTTAATACTTGCAACATCCTTATTTTTATTTTTTCAGCAGTTACTGTTTTGTACTTTGGTAGTAAAGTGATTTTTACCACCTGTGTTTGCATATTTATATATGCTGTGGATGAAAATAACTTACTAGAGAATGTATATTTTATGATGAGAATGTGTATCTGTTGGATATAATCAGAGAACTGAGATTAATTTATCAGTAATTTTTAAGAATCCATGCTTTGTGACAGACATCTCTAATAGCTAACTCTTTATTGAACACACTCCTAAAAACATGGAACCATGACATTGTAGATATTTAATATTGTACAGTATAGAAACCTCCATTTTTGCCTTCGAATGCATATTTAAGAGTTACAGAATGAAAAAAAAAAAAAAAAAGTCTTGTTGAATCATAGTGTTTGATTAGCATTGTAAGAACTTGAGAGTAAAAGCACCAATAGGACTTTTCACCTCTTCCTGCATCTACCCCCAAACTGAGAACATCACTCAGTTGTTTGGAAGAAAATGTACATCTGTATCAATTTTATTTAATGTGTGTGTGTTAATACATAATCATAGTACAATTCTCATATACAGAGAAGGAGTTTGGCACTTAATTATTGAGGCTTTAGACTTTTAATACAATCGGACTGGGTGTGTCAGACCAAAAGATTTTACTAACAGCCCACTGACCTTCCTGGTACATTGCCATTCCGAGGAATTCTGAGAGTAGGCAAAACAAATTTTGCCTTCATGGTACACTTCTCAGTTTTTCTTATAGGAGAAATATGGTATATGTTTACAAGATTATTTTACGAGATTGTAGCGTTCAATGCTGTAGGATAGCGTCTTATACTCAAGCAAAAAAGTCTATAACACAGTGATAATGTCCCTCAGCTTTCTATATTTAGTTACTTCCCGAAAGCACAAAAGTCAAAAAACATTGCCATATGGTGAATGAGAGAGCGCTTGGAGTAAGCAAACAGTTCCTGATAAATGTCGCTTAGAGACGGGTCTGGGGCAGGTTCAGACTTGAGCTAAAATGTTGTGCTTGTTCCCTTAGTTCACTTCAAAATGTAACACAACGTCTTCAAACAGTCCCTTTACACCTTAAATGTAGTCGCCTCAGCCCTGACGACATTCAGAATCCATAGAACACTACACTACTGTTTTGAATTGACACTGTTTGTCGTTCTTAGAAAGTGTTTTATGATCCTGTATGGAGCCTGTACATTTGGGCAGTAACTGCTAGGACAATTCCTTGGCGTCATTTAGCCACTAAGGAAGGACCCAGTAGAGGTGAGAAACCCCTCACCTGTGGGAAGCTGACTTACTTCAGGGCACTTCTCAAGAGACTGAAACACAGTTACTCTTGCTTCCATTGTCTTTGAAGGCCTTTGTAAGATCAGTAGCCGTCACGGGGGCAAGAGTGGCTACAGGACACCCCACTTTGCTGTCTTGCTGACAGAGACCCAAGGCTACCAAGTACCCTTGGCTACCAAGTACTCTTTGGCTACCAAGTACTCCATAGGACAAGTACTCCATTGCCAGATTACCATGCTTTTTGTACAAAAACCAAATTAATTTACCTAATACCTGACACCTCTCTAGGCTCTGAAATGCTTTTTCTCATCAAATTTGCTCACTGCCTGGACAGAATCTAGAAATATGGCAGATGGTGGAAGTATTTAAGGCTTAATTTAATTTAACTTGCTCCTTTGTAGATTGAAAAAAAGTCTTAAATTCTGTGCTCCTGAGATATTAACCAGCAACAATGGAATGAATATATGACCAGAAAGTGGCATTGACACCAAATGCTGCTGTCCCTTTGGGATTGGCTTCTAAGCGATTTGATCAGAAGTAATTGACCAATGTGAATTTTTGTGAACTGTTCAACTGTAGAAAAATAGAAAGCATACCTCCTTGACATGCGTTTTTCCTCTTATGAAGTCTTGCTTGCAGAGAATGCCCAGTAAGACAACAAGAAGCATAGCAACTTCTGCTTTGAGAGCTCAATATTTTTATCTAATCAGTACAGAAGACATAGTTCTCTGTAATTTGATCTTCTGTCCAGTAGATGTCTTATAGGTAACAAAAACTGAAAACTTTGTAGTGATGACTACCAAAGAAACACATAATAAAACTACATTTTATTTCCGAATTATTGAAGAGCCAGTCATTGATGCTGCTACATGAGTTCCATGCTCAAGGGCCGTTGTAACAGATTAAGGAGTTTTTAGGACTTTTTTTTTTTCCTCTTTCTGTTTTTGATAAAACACACACAGTTGTTAGCATAACGCTATGGAGAGCAGTTGCCCACAATGCTCAGCAACTGTGGTTAGCTGCCACGCCTCTTGTTAGGCGACTGAAAGAATACAATGTTCATGATAACATCATGGGTGCTGTGTGTGTGTATATGTGCATTCATGCCTTAACTCAGTTCCTGTTCAACCTCAGTTCTTGATTTAGTCTGCACTGTCATCTAGATTTGATTGTACATCTCTGAGCTTCATCCTGGCAAAAAACAAAGTTGCAGGTACAACAGTGTAAGAATGCATTCCTCCGGATGAGTATTGGATCAGGTTGACCCTGAGCCACCTATGGACTCTATTTGGTACTTAGCATGTGAACAAAACCAGACTGTCAAATAGAACAACGTCAACAAGGAAAAGAGAGCCAAGTGCTAGCATGTCTTTTGCCTCCTCATATCTGTGCACATTGTATGTTCATGATAGCTTGTCCTACAACTTGACTAGGTTGGAGTTATGGTAACGGTGGCAATCTTGACATTCTTGGTCAGAGTTTAGAAAGAGATGTAAGACTTCCAATTATTGTCTTATTTACTTTATGTTGATTAGTCTTTGATACATGTGCTGAATCAGAAACTTAATAAAGATAATTTTTTAAAACTTACATCTTGAGTCTTAAACCCTCTTTTTTTTTTCAGTCTTTGAGTCTGAAAATGACAATGTTTACATTTGCTTTTGTATTACAATTAACTCAGGGTCTAAACATTAAAATGTGCTTTGGAACACAAACTTAGGAAGGAGGCATAAAAGGAGCTGGTACTGGTTCTGACTCACAGGGACCCTGCCTAGGATTTTTGAGGAGTGGCTGGTGAGTTTGAACTGCTGACCTTGTGATTCTAACTGACCTTGTGGTCCACTACTTACCCTATGTTGTTGTGTGCCATCGAGTCACTTCTGACCCATAGCGACCCTGTGTAGGGTTTCCAAGGAGCAGCTGGTGAGTTTGAATCGCCGACCTTGCAGTTCAAACAGCTTTGCAGTGTGGCACATTAACCCACAGCACCACACCAGGACTCCGCTTATCCTAGAGTGCCACACTAAGGTACTGAGTTTCTGAAAGTTGATTGAGCTGTAGACTCAGTACTATTTTATATATTGTGTTTCACCTTATAGAAGTAAACTTTCACACCTACTAGGCTGGATATTATCAGAAAATCAGAGAATAGCAAGTATTGGCACAGATAATGGAGAAGTTGGAACACTTGTGCATTGCTGATGGCAATGCAAAGCATTGTAGCCATTGTGGCAAACAATTTGGTGATTCATCAAAAATTAAGCAGTTACCATATGACCCAGCAATTCCACTTCTATATTGTTGTTAGTTGCCATTGAGTTGGTATCGACTTAGAGTGGTATGCCCAACAGAATGAAACACTGTGCTTAATCCTGTGCCAGCTTCACAATCATTACTCCTAAGCCCACTGGTGCTGCCATATGTCAGTCCATCTTGTGGGGATTCTTCTTCCTTTCACTGAGCCTCCACTTTACCAGGAACTGGTCCCTCCTGAAATGTCCAAAGTATGAGAGATGAAGTTTTGCCATACTGGCTTCTAAGGAACATTCTGGCTGTATTCCTTCCAACAGATTTGTTTG